GGACGGCTCCAGATGTGGAGCTCGTGGGATCGTGGGGGAGGGGTTCCTGACCAGTGGGCCCTCTGTCTAATTTAACAGTCAACATGTTTTCTTTGACTTTTGGTGCCATGTCAGCGCTTACAGGCGGGTCCTTTCTGTTAGAAATTGGATTAAATCATCCAAATCGATTATTAGTGTTTATTAAAAAAAATTAGCAAGGAAACTGGTAGATTTTTGGGTCGCCTAAGGAATATGGTGGCAAATTCGGATGTGAACTTAAAATGTGGTTATTTTTTGTAATTCACTCCATAATTGCCGGAGACATGAGTGTGACTAGACTTCTGTCGTGTTAGGCCTTTATTCGGTTGCGGTGTTATTCTCGGACCTTTGTTGTTTTCTCAAACACTCAACCTGACTGCGTGCCATTGTGTATTAGAAGAAGAAAGCATCGAAATGACGCGACTTTTACAGAGCAAAGTGAAAACAAAACAGAGCAGAAGTCCACAAGGCGACCCATCCTAAACAAAAGAACAAAGCCAAAAATGCGCATTGGCTCATTCTTTGAGGTTATGATAGGGATGGGCAACTGCTCTACATGCCTCTTCGGAAGTTCAGAGTCTTGTACGTTTGTTGTCACTACAGTCCACATGCTCATTTCTTACGATTTGCATAACTTGCAAACACTTGTTCAATACTTCAATAGATGCAGCTCATTCAAATATACTGATGGTATGTACGAATGAGATTGTTTGTCAATTGCTCTTATTAAGAGGAATGGCATGGAAGTACGCAATGTGTATTTTGTCCGCATGATGAGACAATAAAACATTTGTTCTTTCATTGTAAATTGGCTCGTTCTATATGGTCAGTCATCCAGATAGCTTCTGGCTTGTATCCTTCGTGTAGTGTTGCTAATATATTTGGCAACTGGTTACATGAGATTGATCACAAGTTTAGAATTCTTCTCAGGGTGGGAGCGCTTGCCGTGATTTGGTCGCTTTGGCTATGTAGAAATGATAAGGTTTTTAATGATAAAAGTACTTTCCTTATGCAGGTTATCTACAGATGTACCGGGACACTTCGTTTATGGTCCTCTCTACAGCGAGTGGAGAATCGAGACCTGTTTACGGAGGTGTGTACACGATTGGAGGTTGCGGCGAGGGATACTTTTACCCAATATGGGTGGCAGCATGATCTTATGATTGGGCCTCCTACCGTTTAGGTGTCATACAAATATTCATCTTTGTATTTCGCCTTCTACTTTTATTTTGGCTTGTCATGACGACTTTGTTGGCTGTGTGCATCTTAGTTATGCAGAGGCCGAGTGTAATGCTTAAACCTTTTAAGTAATAAAGCGCCTCTTTTCGAAGAAAAAAATTGCTCAAAAAATTTAAGTATTTTGTGATTTTGAAACTTGTAGTGTTCATACATTGAATCTTGAACATAAGTCCCCCACCAAAAATAGAATCATGAACACAAGCATACTTTGGTCATGCGCTGGGGAAAGTAAGATAGGCGGCAGAAACGTAAGGTTGTTGCCTCCAATTATTCACTGGGTGCTTTTCTTTGTTGAGTCCTTCTTCTATTGCAAATTACAATAGACTACTGCTATTACTCCCTCAATTCCAAAATAATCGAAGTTCTAGGATTTTTCTAAGTCAAACCTTTTAAAGTTGACGAAGTCTATAGAAAAATGCACAAAGATCTATGATATCAAATATATATAATAAAATAAGTCATTTCCTAATGAATCTAATGAAGTAAATTTGGTTTTGTAGATGTTGATAAATTTTGTTATAGACTTGGTCAAACTTAATAAATTTTGACCTAGGACAATCCTAGAACTTCAATTATTTTTGAAACGGAGGGAGTACTATTTAAAATCAATAGTATATCAGTAGTTTTTTTTTGAGGGGTTATAGTATATCAGTAGTTGGTACCAACATTTCACTGGTTTTTTTTTTGGAACCAACATTTCACTGGTATAATTATGTATACCAATGATAGTGAAAAGATTATCTTCCAATAACCAAACAGGTGATAGCAGTATCCTATTAGCTTAGAATCTTAGACTGCATATGCCACACTTTTTCGAAAGAAATAAAAGGCGGCAATTGAACAATGCAAACCAAAAAAGATGGAAGTATGTTCCTTCTATATTTGTCTATACCTGAAAAGGAGTAAACATACCTGAAACAGGCTAGTGCTATAATCTGCACAAACTCCACACTCATAGTTTGTCGAATGCAGCAGCTCAGAATTTGTCCAATGCAGCATACATGGAGTTCATGATGAGGCCAGGGACAAAGCTTTTGAGTTGGAGTTGAGCTGGATCAAAATGTCAGCATCAGAAGGTAGTGGCATACACCCACCCAGAAATGACTAAATAAACAAAAAGATGAAGAGAAAACCGTCTACAGATTTTTGACATGGGTATGGAACTGACCTCTCTGCTCACTTGGCATACAGGTTCTTCTTAACAGGTTCCAGATGGTTTACTGGAGCAGGCCATGGCTTCAGCTCAGGCAGCGGTTGAGGGGATGGACGCTGACCAAATGAGCACGTAGGTACTGATGGGCGGTAGATGCTACGAGGGCGACAGGAAGGATGCCCCATGGAAAGTTTGATGCTGGACAGTGGAGGAGGGGTATCTTATTTGGCTTGTGCTCTTCAGGTTCTGATGAATGTGCGTTAAGCCATTGGCTGGAGGGGAGAAGGAAGGAGTCATCTTGTATGTATATTTGGGCTCGTGAAGGATGAACAGGCTTACCCAACACACACAAAAAGCTTGTGAAAGTGCACATGTGTTGTATAGGAGAAGAACACGCATGTGTCGGCAGGATGTCTCATGTCTGCCACCCTCTTGCGAATCGTCGAAAGCATAGAACACGGCCAAGAAAGGTATCGCTCGCATCGCATGCACAAATGGATGGTTTGGTTTAGGGGTTAATCCTGGTTGAAGAAAGGTAGTATTCCTCTGCACGCCCTGTGCGCTTTACAAATGAACAGCCCAACTGTCAAAGCATGTACAGTCTCCAACTGTCAGACACTGCCTGCCATTTGGCAGACATCAGGACAGAAGAAACTTCATCAGCCTGCGAAACATTATGCGTTTTTAGCATGGCTTAAATTTTTGGCTCCGAACATGACCCAAATTTGAGTTACAGCATGACAAAAAGTTTGCAGGTCACTGGATGCTGCGAGACATGCACGATATATTTCTAGTGTAATAATTTAGGCTTCTTAGATTGAAATGATGCTTTATACTACCTCCATATGTACATGAAATCCACTTCGTTTTTCATGTCAAACTTTGACTTATATGGTCAGTAAAATATGGGTTATATGCAATGAAAAAAATAGCATGCTATGACAAAACAATGTGAACTTAAAATATGCTCTTAGCGAGACATTGTACATCAATTCATTTAGCGAGACATTATACACCATATTTGGGGCGCCACTAGAGTTATCGGCTTATGGACGGTTGCCACTTGTCCATGCATGGGGGGCTCTGCCAATGGTGTTGTCCGCCGTCCCGACTCGGCATGGTTGGGTGGAGATTGCCGGCGGTCCTAGGCTTGGCCAGTGAGGGTTGTGGGCATGGGCGAGTCCGGGTTGGGCCGGCCAGGCTATAGGTGGCCATGGCTCGTTCTCTTCCAGGGGTAGTGGTATCACCCAGATGTGGATTTGGAGGCCTGGACTTCGGTAGGTCTTTCCTCAAGGGTGGGCTTAGTGGCCTTGGTGCCTCGAGTCGCACTGGCGGGTTCCCAAGTGAAAACTCCATGATTTCTCGTTGATGGAGGCGACACCTGCAGGTGTCGCTATCCTCTTGAAGGCATCAGTGCGGTTCCCCTTCCCCCGCCAGTGCTTCGAGGGGAAACCCATTCCGTCCCTTCGGACTCGGCAACGAGGACGCTTTGCCTCGTTGCCCTCCTGGGGGCACCGTCGTGGAGCTCAAGTGCTTTATTATCATGGTGTGGCGTTGTCTTTTGGCTCTGCAGTGCTCATGCTATGGGTGGCCATGGCTCGTTCTCTTGCAGGGGCAGTGGTATCGCCCATATGTGGATTTGAAGACCGGACTTCGGTGGGTCTTCCCCAAAGGGTTGGTTCAGTGGCTTTGGTGCCTCGAGTGGCAATGACGGGTTCCCAAGCGAAAACTTCGCGATCTGTTGTTGATGGCGGCAACACCTGCGGGTGTCGCTATCCACTTGAAGGCGTCGTTGCGGTTCCCCTTCCCCTGCTTGTGCTTTGAGGTGAAACCCATGTCCGTCCCTTTGGACTCAGCAACGGTGACGCTTCGCCTCGTTACCCTCTCGGGGGACACCGTCGTGGAGCTCAGGTGCTTATTGTCATGGCGTGGTGTCGTCTTCTGGCTCCACAATGCTCATGCTCAGCAGCGCAGTCGTGTCGTTATTAGTGATTTTGTGCGACTTATGTTGTCCAATTTCTCTTTGTCTACTTTGCGAGGGGAGGGGGGAGCCTTTTCCATTCTTTCTCGAAGGTTCTGTTTTGTTTTTACAACCAAACAAGCTCCGGTGCAAATTTAATGTTGTGCTTTATGCGGTTTATTAATGTTTTCCTTTATTAATTCCCTACATTTAGTTAGCAGTAGATCCTCATCCTTTTTGCATTTGTGCGTCCTTGGAGGCGAAGCATTCGTGCGGTCAAAAACATTAGGAAACGACCGGAACGTGTGGGAATTCTATTCTCGGACGCAGTAAAGCGGAACAAGACAAGGCAGGGGCTGGCGCCCGGCAGGCGGCCAACCCCACGTCCGCATACGCGTAACGCGTCTCGCTTTGCTCTCTCTCGAAGGAAGGAAATTGAAAAGGCAGTCGCCAACGGCCAGCGCGAGCCAGCTAAGTCCAACCGAGCGGGCAAGGCACAACCCCCCACCCACCCCCGCCCAGACGCGTCGCCTCGGCGGCCCCGAAGCTCCTCGCCACCGGCCCGCCCCCGCCGCGCCCCTTGCCCCCGGCCCGCCCCCCCGCCGCCGGGTGGACGCCGGCGACGCCGCCATGTCGCCCTCCGCCCCGCCCGCGCCCGCCCGCTTCCTCCTCTTCGCCGCGGCCCTCGCGCTGCTCCTCCTCTCCCCAACCCTAGCGGCCTCCGACCCCGCCGCCGAGCCCTGCGCGGCGCCCCTCGACGCCGCATCGCTGGACGGCGGGGGCGGGGGAGAGGTCGCGCTCTGCCCCGTGCGGTGCTTCCGCCCCGACCCCGTCTGCGGCGCCGACGGCGTCACCTACTGGTGCGGCTGCCCGGAGGCCGCCTGCGCCGGCGCGCGGGTGGCGCGGCGCGGCTACTGCGAGGTCGGCGCCGGCTCCGCGCCCGTCTCCGGCCAGGCGCTCCTGCTCGTCCACATCGTCTGGCTCTTCGTGCTCGGCGCCGCCGTCCTCCTCGGCTTCCTCTGACGCGCGCGCGCGCCTCCGTCGCCCCCCTTCCTGTAATTGACGCCCTCCCCATCCCCACAATTGGTACAACTACTCATTTCAAGATTCTTTGTTGGATTTCGGTGCGCTCTTGAGAGCCGAGGGGGTGTGGTGCTGGAACGGAATGTTTCGTTGCGAGGATGTCACACAATTCTTTCATAGATGATGAGATTGGTTGGCTTGGTGCTTTAGATTTCGGACCTCAGCTGTCCAGATTGGTTGCCAAATGTAGGTTGAGATCGTGTAAAACAGCTTGTAAATTTCGGCTAAATACATTTTGCAGTGATCTGGTTGTGCTTGTCTATAAATTTCAGCTTTCATGATCTTACTGTTGTGGTTTGTGTGGTTGTCTTTATATTTGAGCTTCATGATTGACAGACGAGAGCTTTTTAAAGCACTTCAGCAAATTGCTTTTCATTGAAATTTACTTCCGTTGTAGGGTTGCAATGGAGCCAACTCGACATTTTTCTCTTTGTTAAGAATATGAAATTTAAAATGGTAGAGCAGCTATAACTTGAGCATGGACCTGACACCTTCACACATAATGGATGTAATCAGAGGTTGTGATGTTCATGTGGCCATAAGTTCTTATGTCAGTAACATGTATTACTCTTTGTCTCTCTCTCTCTGATCTATATTAGGAGCTCTCAATTCCTTTCCATTTTATGTACTTGAGATAAAGAAGTGTAAGGAGGAGTAAAACAGAGAAATGTGGGTATTTGCATACATGAACCAAAACATGTTAAAAGGAATGTCAGTGCATCCTAGAGGTGTTCTTCATGGCTGGTATGCTGGGATTGCCATTGACTCATACGTTGATGCTTCTGGTCGTGTAGAACGGTGCAGCAAATAGCCCTGCACCTTATGAAGGACAGCTACCTCCTGTGTTTTGCCAGGAAGGCAATATCGAACCTCTTGTGTCGCTTATTTAGTCTGGTGAGCACTATTCCTTGTGTTTTGTCATTGTTTTCTTGTACTAGATAACACTGAGAAATTCTGTGATATGCTTCATTATCCTATAAATATCATACTTATAAAAGTCAGCAGTCTTCTCTTATAGATGGACAGACCCAGTGCATAGAAGCTCCCACACAAGGTGGGGCCTGGGGAGGGATTATAGGAACCTAGTCTTACCCCTGCAAAGTGCAATGCAGAGAGGCTGGTTCGATGGATTTCATAAAAAAATAGCAAAGAGCAAACATAGCATACCTGTTACTGTGCCACCTATTGTGTTCAGATGGTTTATATTTCGGTTCTTGCTTTCACCAGAGTATCTATTTAGCATCCTGTCATACTGATCTTCCCTTATGCAGCTTTAAATTAACAGACCTGTTTTGACATTGAAATTGTTGTTGACTACATAAATTTTACCTGAAAGGCTGAAATGCAATTTATGGTGCAGGCAAGAATTGCTTATTCACACTCGACTACATATTTACATTGTGTCCCAACTTCTAGAAACAGTCCTGTCTCTTCCTATGATTTTAGAGATCTATGTAGTCCAAGTACAACTAGAGTAAATCAAATGTAGTTTGTTGTTAAATCGAATGTATCTTGCAGCTAAGTCAAATGCTAAGTTTGAATAGCAGAGATGGTTTCTGCTCCCAAGAAAACAGTATGTTTTTCTCTATCGATTCGTTGCAGGTCTGGCTTCCTTTATCCAAGCTGTTGCGGAGTTGATGAAGTCAATCAATGGAAATTTGTGTTGCTCTCAGGAGTCCACACTTTTCTGATTAGCTGATTCCGTGCAAGCAAGGTTGCCCGTTAGTCAAACCTAATTTCTATGTCTGCTAAATATCAAAATTTCTGTGTCACTTATTTTGTAGTGTGTGTGCAATTTGGAACTTATGTATCTGGTTGGTTTGGTCATTGATCTTATTTAGTTTTATTCATGTTGCTTGGAGTAATATTTTGGCACAAAAACCTGTCCATTTCAATCATTCTCTTGTTTATATTGTTCATGTAGAAGGAATTATTTTCTTACTTTATTTGTACTACATTCATTCTGATTTTCTAACAGGACTAGACCTTTTTTCCAAAGTAGCTGTTCTTCCATTCAGATCCATAATAAGATTCTGAAAAGCTAGTTTCTGTCGTAACAGACTTAGGTTTTTCATTTGATGAAATCAAAAATCTTTACCTATAATAATAAAGCAAATTGGGTTTCTTTCGTCCGTCATGGCATTTTTCAGAAAAGTCCCTCTATTTCATAGAATTCAACCCGCAGTTCTGTTTTAAGTTAAAACGCACAAAAGTCCCTGTCTATTCTTGAAATCAACCCGCCGTCCGGATTTAAGTCACACCTGAACCGTTATTTTACATTTTCAAAAAAAAAACCCTGATGTTTTAGGTAATTCATTCGCAGATCATATTTAACTCAAACAAATGCTTTTTAAAATCATCCATATCATTTAAACCGTAACTCCGATTTGAACATGTTATATATGAAATTTGATTAGAAAAATATGTAGAATATGAATATGAGATTATTTTTTCCTATTAATTATTTTAAAATATTATTTTAGAATATATTTGAGTCAAACCAAATGATTTTCTAAATTATCTGTATCTTTTAAACCGTAACTTCGATTTTAACATATTATATATGAAATTTTATTAGAAAAATGTGTGGAATCTAAATATGACGTTAATTTTACCTGTTAAATATTTTTTAAATATTGTTATGGAAGCAAACTTATAACTTATAGCGCAAGATTTGTTTTTTCATACCGGTGGCGATCTGGATTGCAATAAACACCCCACTATAACCATATACGAAAAAGAAAAAAATATCGATAACTACACATGCATACCTCTGAAAAATGTCGCAGGGAAAACAACGGATTTCTCAACGCGAGAGTGTGAGAAAGCG